GGGCGCATGTCGCCAGTATACTGCGTTGCTGTTTACATGCATGAAAAGTGTGTTTGAGAACGAGTCTGATTGCACACACATAAAAAATCAAGAAATAATTGTGCAAAAAGAAACCAAAAATAATGAAAAAGAAACACAGAATCATGCTTTTGCAAGTCTCGTTTGGACATGTGCACAGTGAAATGCTGAATGCTGTTGCACGCTTACACACACAATCACACCCACCCACATCCACACCGCACCTACACACACACACACACACACATTCATAGAATTTGAGTTGTTGGACCTGGGGTTTAAACCCAGGTACAGACCTTCATCGTGTTCACCATTTCCGCCAAGCGAGTATGCTCACTATCGGACTTGATCCGATAACCCATAGGAACAGATTTTAAGTCCGTCGTGTTTACGATTTTCACCAAGTGAGAAGAACGGTCTGACCTGCTCGGGAGGCCCATTATTGTCTTTGTAAGTTCTGTGTCACCCTACAGTGCAATTTTATCCAGTGCTGCGGGGCCACTACACAAGAGCATGTGATCCCAGGAGCACGAGAGAGAGAGAGAGAGAGAGAGAGAGAGAGAGAGAGAGAGAGAGAGAGAGAGAGAGAGAGAGAGAGAGATGTGGTGTACACATACATGGTACCATCACCCCCTGCGCCCCGCCTTCAGATCGGCTGCAGCAGGCCACTTGTGTTATTGTGAAACGCTAAAACTGTCTATGCACAAGGCATTATGTAATATCAAATGCATGGATAGAATCGCAGAGGGTTCAAATACCTGACTCTTAATGCATCGTACTCCTGTGCTCGCTGTTCGGCTTCAGCCTGAGTTAATAGCTCTCCCACATACTCGACAATGAATTTGCCCCTGGAGATATATGGAAACCATACAGCAGGGTCAAGATCTGGGACAATTTTCCCCCAATGATCGATCGATATTCAAGCCCAGTTTTCATCAATGGAACAACACATTGTGACCACATTGTGAGACATCCTGTTTCAAGCTCTCTCTTGCTTGTTCTCTGTTGAGTTTTTGTTGTTGCCAGTTTGTCAAAGCATTCCATTCAGGAGCTTGATTACTGAGAAAACGAGAAGTCCGTTCATCACATACGCCCACTCTTTTATTTATTATTATATCCTAAAAGCTACAGTCTAGACTATGAATCCATCCCTCTTCTACCCTGCTATTTTTACTCAGGTGGAAAAAAAAAAACACCACCATCCTTGAAAGAAAAAAAGCATGAATCATGCAACCATGCAGCAACACCATGTTTTGGTCTTTATTATTCCCCAACAATTGCTCAAGTTTGCATCAATCCACTCACCTTGGTATCCTTTCTAAGGTGCGCACGCCCCATCCTCGATCTTCCGTCTTGAAAAGTTCTAGACGAGTGCGAAGCCCTTTTTGCAGTTCGCGGTTCCAACACGTGCTGGGGTCACACTTGCATCCACCATTGCACTCCACAATATCTCTGTCCTGCTCAGACAGCTGCCCAGGTTGCACAGTCCACAAGAAAGAAACGCAAGTCAGCAAGTGACCGAGGGGGGGTCGGGGGGGGGAGAGGAGAGGAGCACGGAGGATCCCAACGAGTGTTGTGGTTGCAGTGTTGCGCTTCTCGATATCTCTATCGTGATCAGAAAGATAGCTGCACCATAGTTCTAGCACAGTCCAGAAGAAAGAAAGACAAGTCAGTGAATGAGGGGGGAGCATGCATGGTGGACCTCGAATACAAAATCTCGTTCCACGTCCACCACAGCCCTTTGGCTACAAAATCTTTAGTTGATTTAACGTTAAATCAGTTTTCCCGTTCGACACTCTGAGCACATGTATCAGTCTAGACAACTGCAGCATCCTGCTCAAGAGCTCTCTAAGGCTACTGTCTTCCCATGATCAAAATGCATATGCGTTGCATTTGAGTTTTGGAAACAAAACAAAAAAAAACGAAAATTCTGAAGTTACTTAGTCAGTCCACTTTTCTCGAATAGAAGGGGACTTCGAATAGAACGCACATGCATTGTATTCAACTATCAATAGAAAGCATGCGTTCTCTATTCGAATTTTTGAAGGGAAAAACTGATGTATCCGAATAGAATATTAGTATTATTATTTTTAAGGTTAGCGCCTGCTGGGTTCTTGGTCTCGCTGCTCCTGGTCACTGACACGCCGCGTGCCACAGTGCTCTCTCTCTCTCTCTCTCTCTCTGCCCCTACGACCTGTGCTCTTCTGTTCGCAAGACAGTGCACCCAGTCTCAGAATCTGACAGGCCAAGAATGTGGCAGTGTGAGGTGTACTGCTGCCAGGAGCGCTTCTATGTGCCTCGCACCACCACTCACCAAGTGGGAAAAGGCAAATGAATCTTCCGCGAGCCATGGAAAGATACAAAGCCACTTTTTTTTCTTTTCTGTATGTGATGAATGGTGGAGTCAGGCTACAATTAGAAGCCGCTTCTCCAGCTTATGGGACGGTCTACCAAGTAATAGGCCATTCGGTAGGCCTTCCTCCACTGCCCAAAACTGAGCCTACTCAGCCTGTACCGCCCTTCCCCGCCTGCCTAAAGTTGTTCATGTGAACATAGAGCATATGCGGATTGAGCCAATACAACACAACCTATGTGTAGTATTTGTTTACAATGCATATGCCTTATGCTTGGGGGAAGACCCTAGGCCACAGAATCTACCACCACTAGCATGGGAGATGGTGGGACTCAAGATCTGTGGTTTGCGCACTTCCCCCAAACACGAACAAATAAAACATAACACGGATGTTGTGAACAAATGAAACATCCGGTGGGCCCTCCAATTCCCTGGAATGCCCGGGCATTCAGAATGTTGTTTACTGCAAGCGATAGGGGGACCAAGGGGGGTCGGATCATTTTCGCAGTCCTTCAGACTTTCCAGGCTTCTTGCACCACTCCTTCAGCCTTGTAAGTTCTCTCTCTCTCTCTGTGTGTGTGTGTGTGTGTGTGTGTGTGTGTGTGTGTGTGTGTGTGTGTGTGTGTCTCTCTCGGCTTTTTTTGAAGTACTTTTTGTGGGTCTGAGTGAGCACCCTTAAGAAGTGGTAAACAGTAGTTGGTCCCTTGTTTGGAGTTGCGTGCAGGACTCTTAGGGGAGTCGCTCTGCTCATGATGTCTGTGTGGTGTATATGGTCTATGGGTGACTACCGACGCCTGCCGCAGTGACTCCCTGGCTCAGCAAATGGTGGGAACCAACGGTGTGCAGGTTTCACCTGCGATGTGAGTAGGTGATGTGCTGCTTTGCTTGTGCAGACTGCCTCGTCTGCGCTCTGCCGCTGCCTTGCTGACTGTCCCTCTTGCTTCGCATGGCGTTCTTGGCAAGCTGCTGTGTTCACTGTGTGGTCGGGCTGCAATGTTGGTGTTGCATTCTGCTTCACTACTCTGCTGCCTTGCCCCTTCCATGTCATTTTGCTCGGGTGCCGTGTGGTTTGGGTGCCTTGCTGGTGTTGCCTGGTGCTTCACTGCACATTTGCTGTGCTGCTCGTCCACTTGCCGAGTTGTTCCTTGCAGTTGTTTTTGGCGTTGAGTAGTCGTGTTGCTCAGCGTTGCCTGGTGCTTTGCTGAGTTGCTGCCCTTTGCTATGTTCCACTGGGGACGGTCTGCCTTCAACATGGGTCAAAGGGTTCACGACCCAAACCATCAAGACAGAGATTCCGCAGATTGTCAAGGGTTTCGGCTCCTGATGGGCCGACGAAAAAATATTTCATCATCAGCTTTTGTTTTTTTGGCTCTTGCTTTTTATGCGAGGAACAAGCACTCACAGGGCCCTATCAGCAGACATCACATGTTCTGGGCAAAGGCCCCCAGCAAGCAGAGTGCCCGCTCTAAGTGAAAGCGGGCCTGAATGTTCGTCAGAGGCCAAAATTCGACACTTCCATATGTGGGTATTCAGGCTCTTGCAGCACGCCAGTTGGTTGAGTAGATGCGTGAGCCTCACTAAGCTGCATCGTACAGTTGGCCCAGGCCTTGACAGTTGCGCCTGGGCACATACACACAAAGCTGGGCCGATACATTGAGAAGCAGGTCATCGGCCCAAGCAAAAGCAGTACTGTCGACGCACCTACCTGGGAGCCCTGCACAGATAGAGCAAACAGCCCAAGTCCAGAGACTCAGGCCGTGC